GACAACACCTTCACCCAAAAGCCTTTTTCAAGTGGAGAAAAACTGTTGTCAAAATCCAATGCTCCCAAAAAAATCTAGTTCAACCAAGTTTTTTAAGGCAAGCTTTGACTATTCTCATACTTTCCGTAAAAACACCAATCTACTTAATAGTCATCCATTTCGCCTGCACGCCACCCTAGTTAGCGCACTCCTCTCTCTACTCCTGTATAATATGTTCCTTTGCACTACAAGGTAAGACGAATTAAGAATCTCTCCTAGCCTTGTTTATGATAGTTCCCTTAGACAAAGTAGTGACACCAGAGTTCCAATTACCTGCACAATATCAATGTGGTGCTTAGAACAGAGCGACTTGACTCCACTTGTGTTGATGCTCGTCTCCAAAGCTCTTTATACTTGCACCTAGTGCATAGTGCTGTGTAATGGATGTGTAAACATTCCATGCTGCGAGTACATTACTACGTGGAGTGGGGAGATTTGGCTTTGGTTTTTGGTTCCTGTAAATGGGAACATTGCTTAAGAAGGTTTATGTTTCCAGAAACACTGGACATGGTCATCAATGTTGACAAGCTTTGGAAATAAGTTGATTGATGTGGTGATGGAGGGATCGAACATGTCGTTGTGATTCAGATTGATGACCTTAGTGCTGTGCCGAACAAGGGATCGGTGTGCTGTTTTATAGAAGTAGATTTTCATGTTTTTATATTTTACTTTAAGAGGAATACTTGGAAGGTGTCTGGTCTGATACTTTGAAACCAATATAAGCAAAAGTCTTATATTATAATTTAAATTATCTTCAAAATCTTAACAATTACTTTTTCAAATATTGTTTTGTAAATTATTGTATACATACCAGTATGTTTTATGGTTTCTATGAATGTAGAGCTAGTTTTTGAATGGAGACTTGCACACCAAAACTTCACCATGTATATTGCAAAACCAGAATACTGCTATATCTCACATAGGTAAAATATCAAGCAATATTAATATATTATCCAATGAGCAATCCAATGAAGATTTTATTGAAGATAAGTCAATTATGGCACCTCAGTTGCTCTGTTTGCTACATCACTAATATTTATTGTCCAATTTACATCATCTAATATTTACAGTCTATGGTCAGAGGTAGTAGTTTTTCATTATACCATTGCATAATGGTACAGTGCCTTGCAAAAGTATTCGGCCCCCTTGAACCTTTCAACATTTCGCCACATTTCAGCCTTCAAACATAAAGATATACAATTTTAATTTATTTGTCATGAATCAACAACAAGTGGGACACAATCGTGAAGTGGAACAAAATTTATTGGATAATTTATCCTTTTTTAACAAATAAAAAACTGAAAAGTGGCACTGTATATAAAAAGTGCTTGAACGTATAGTGTTAATAAAGGTTGTGTTTGTTTGGCACCCCAAAATGGCTGCTACTGTCCAGCTAACTATAAGCCCTGTCTTTGCATTCTCGATCAACCTCAGCATGAGGGTCTCTGCAGCATGCCAGAGCGGAGAGGCTGAGTGCTCCGTCAGGCCAGACAACAGCACCTCAGCTCGACCAATTAGGCAGCAAAGCAAGACTAATGAGGTGGTTAACTGTGCCTCTGAAGAATGGAGGCGTCCCGTTCGGCCTGCCTCGTTACATGATGGAGGAGGGTGCGATAGCGGTTTGCTAATGCGAAATAGGGGCTAAGTGATGAGAAGTAAATGCCCGCAGTGTACGCGTCCACCCACTGACCTGCCCGGTAACGCATGACACTTTGGCGCCACCCACAGAGAATAATTTAGTGGAAATTGTGTCAGCCATTTTTACTATTTATTTGTGGTAGTGAAGTGGAAGTGGCTAGGTGAGAAAGGGTTGTATAATTGTATAAAATCAATGTTGGAACAAGCTTTTTTCACAATACTATACCATTAAAGGATCAGGATAACCCCTGATGAGCTAGAGGAATTACACCTGGATAGAGAAGTTTGGCCGTCTCCGCTCAGAAACACATCTAGGGGATTTATTTGTCAATGAACATCAACATGATTAATAACATATTGTGAAATAGGAACGAAACATCTGACCGTAGTGGTTTGGTTTAAACATAACACTATTTGTATGTATCTATTTTATTTATTCATATGAACAGGGACAACGCACAATAACGGACATTTCTCTATAAGGGCCAGTTTAATCTACAAAGCTAGTTTTAGTCCCTGAACAAGGTGTGAAGATGCATTGGAGCGTACTGTATATAGAGTATTAACAGCACATATATGAGGTGCCAGCGTACATTAAACATTTCCATGTTTCTTCTCAGTCTATGATTTGTTTCTTGTCTTCTTTTGTTGAGTACTTTGACTTTCCTTGTGTATGAATGGTGCTTTACAAATAAACTTGCCTTGCCTGGCCCATACACATGTGACATTAAGAGATACAAGCATGGGCAGGCTCATGCAAACCGCTACAGCTCCAAAGTGTTCACAAGGCTTATAGCGGGAGGGAAGTCTCTCAGTTCTTCAGTTGAGTTCTGCCTCAATGACTCAGCAACGGATAAAGCGCAAGATAATGATGTATTACACTCCACGGTCATATTTTGTTACAGCTGATGTTTTAGCCAGAAAGACCAGAGTTAATCTCATTGTCACCTATACTCTTTTTACAGATTACTTGTAAGATTTGGTGACAACAAGGTTCCACAGACACTTGTTCTGGTCGTTGTAATTCGTCATGTTATAATCACATGTAAGGCACACATTTTACATCACAAAATTTTTCTACCTAAATTATAATACAGTTTCCCTTCACTCTCAAGCCACTAACTGGTTTCTCTGGAGTGTGGTGGTAGATGGCACTTTCTTGTTCATTTTTTGCTTCTCTAATTAAGCCGTGCGTGTTGCTTCCTGAGGTGATATTGGAATAACTCAGTCACAGTTCAGTAATGGTACTAATAGAGTGAGGTTTAAAGAGGGGTCTTTTGGGAGGGGCTTTGAAGGAATGAACCAGCAGATAGACTTGTGGGGGTCGCAGAGTTGCATGACGGCAAATTAAGCACCAGACTTCTGAGCGTAACAAGCCCCCAACTGTATTCCGTAAGTCTGATTGAAGAATCGTTGGGACCACTGATTGCTTTTTTTAACGTTTATGAAGGACCACAAGAGGGCGACAGACACGTATATTACTTCCAACTTTTCTTAAGGGCAGTAGTTTCTTTTTCGTTTTCGTTCTTTGCACATCTCATCTGGACTTCTCTTGGCTCTTGGCTCTTGGCACCGGCTCTCCACATATGTCATTGTTTTTGTGAGCATTTTTAAAGAAAAAAGAAATTCAAAACGGCCATATTGCTATTTGTCAAAGCCATTTATGGTTCAATGGAAAGCAGAAGGACACTTCACCACAGAGGGACAAATCTGACAAGGTTTTATGGGGTTATGCTAATTTTCTGTAACCTAGAGAGGCCCTTCCATAATAAGGTGTGAGTAAAACTGTTCTGCTATATCTGAATATGTTCAATGGACTGAAAGTTTAACATAATAATAATAATGGTAATAATAACAATAATGAAAATAATAATGCATTTTACTAATTGACTAATCTAGCAATTATTTTTTAATTTTTTATAAAAAGCAGCCATACGATTATGTGTTTATTTGAGGACCGGAGAGCATTCTTAACCAAATGTTTGAATTTTCTACCATAACAGACAAGACATTTACACAATTTAAAATCACATTTCACGACCCTCATTATTGAAAAAAACGAAGCTAAAAATATGAACTGATAATTAAGAAGAAATAAAAGCATACTAAATACTAAACAATTTAATTTTCACTCATGGGCCTTTATACATACCACTAAATTCAAGTATGAAATTAAGATAAATATGTATTATTCATTACTACTTTGCTATTTTTCCACACTTGCCTAGACACGTTTACATAAAATCATACTGGCCGCTCTCTGTGTATCTTTGCAGGAGACATCTTGACTTGGCACAATTCGTACGTTGTGTCGCCAAGCTCAAAACGCCACTCTCATTTTCTAACTGCCGTTGAAGTACTTTACCGCGGCAAAGTGCATATCATTAAAGTATCAGAGAGACCTTCACCATGTTGCGGTCCAAAATGGAGCACTTGGCCTCTGGTCCATTATACTAATCCTGCTGTAGCCTGTATGAAGCTGCTGCTACTGTGTGTGTGTGTATGGAGGTCTTTTGCCATCTTTTGTGGCTCTTTACCTTTTTCCTTTGGGAAGAGAACAAAAATAAGTTGATATGCATTTTTTTTAATATAGGTTTTGCAAATTAATCTTTATGAACTTTTCAATTTTCTCTTTGATTTTTGTTGTTGTTATCGATGTCATAATTAAACTGGTATAAAAATTGTTTTTTATTACTGAAGAAAACAATTCAAACATGTATTAATTCATGTTTACACCAGAGAATGCACATTGCTTTAAGAGAACCCAGTTATAACAAACAATTATTTATAAAATGTCCACCCCTAGAAAATTATAGAAAATATTAGGGAACAACCCATTTGGATTTTTTTGAACTAATTTTGCTGTTGATTAATATTAGCTCTGAGGTTGGCTGCATGATATTGTGAACTTGTGTTAATGATTACCCGTTTGATTATAGACTCTCATATGTCCTTTCGTGCATGTCGATTATTAGTAGCGCTCCTTTAATGCATTAAGTGCTACTAATGCTAGCACCAAAATAGTGAATCTGTCAGTTTCCTGCTGTTTACTGGCAGGACCCTAATTTCTCATGGGGTGCAAATGACTTGGAATCTCTTGTTGCCCTGACCCCATGCTGATATTATTACTTGGTTAACTTAGAAGGTGGAGGGTGCGCGGAACCGGAAAGCACCATCAGAGGAATTTTAATTTGTACTATTAATTTATGGAAATGAATACAGCAGCTGTTTGAATCACAGTATTAAATTGCTTACCCAAGCATTGCCATGTAGGCTGTATGTAAATGCAGGTGTGTGCTAATTGAAATTCAATATCGCTCTCGTCAGTGAGGGTTGCTGCCCTTCTTGACTGCCCGCCTCCCCCCCTTGTCCCTATCCCTCTCGCTTTCCTCTCCCGGCAGTCCAACTTGCCCTCCGAACCTTGCGTAAGTGGGTCTTTAATTTAAAAGTAAATGCATTAACTTTTTCCAACGCAGGCTAGATTGAGTAGCACTTGGCTGCAAATGAATAAACGGCGAGGTAACGAATGCTTCCCTTCCCGCACACAAACACGCAGCGGGATCGATAAACAGTGGTATCGAGGCATCTCTTGAGGTCTGGCTCTGTGTGATGGCTGATTTATTTGTTCATGGCGAGAGGCACTAAATCAGCGCTTATACCCCTCAGGCCGCTGAGGCGCGACACAGCCAGCCAGCCTACTTACTGTCACTCTACAGCTCTGCGGAGAAGACTTCTTAGCATCAGCGTTTTTATGTCGCTACATATCGTTATTGGTGGATAAATGAGGTTCACAGACAGTTTTGTCTACCCTGGATGCTAAGTTCCTCCAATTCAAAAGTGTATCTGTGATGAAAGATATCTCCAATTTCTGCCACAGGACTATTTTGGTAGTTTTTTGTTTCTGCAGTCCAGACTATGTATACCTTTTTATATTTCTATTTATATATATTTTTCTGTCTCTCTCTCTACCTCTCCCTCTTTTCGCTCTTTTTTTAATTATTACAATATACCTTTTAACAAAAGTAATTATTGAGAAATGCCTGTTGTAGATTTGTGTTTCATGTGACGATGTAATTTGGGATAGTTGCAAATAGTCCTTAAAGCTACTCTTTCCCTTAACTAATACAATGTGTTAGTCCCAACAGAAAAACTATCAGACCACAAAACACTGTCTTCATCTTATTAGAAAAGTGAAAAAATAAAAATAAAAAAGAAATGTGATTTTTTTGTATACTTGGAAGAAAGAGGCAGACAAGACAGTATTTGACACTTTGGGCCGGATGAGGATGGATGGTCTTCTCTTTTTCTGTCTGGAAAAGCTATTCTAAAGATGTCAAAGAAGCCAAAAAATGAGTGCCTATGAAATCTGGTGATAGAACTGTTTTACATAGATTTTTGTCTTATTAGTTTTGTGTTGTGCTGTGAAAGTTGGGTACCCCAGCCATAACATTGGGTTTCCAAATAGAATAAGCGTGTTGTGTGTTTGAGTGGTTAAGTTTGAGGTCAGTCTTAATCCCTGATTAAGAATGTCATGCTTGTGTGTTAGCATTAAACAGGTGTAGCGCGCGCAAACCTTTGTGTGTGTGTGTGCAGCAGCAGCGAGTGTCCCATCCAGAGCAGAGACAGACAGACCTTCCCCGCAGGCTCTCCCAGGGCATGTCGCTGTGCTCCTCTGCTCCCCTTTTCTCGCGCTGCCCTTCTTCTTCACTGTAGCCCGTAGACAGAAGAGCCAGCTGTCCTCTCCTGCTGCAGACACACATCCAGAAACGCTACAAACTTTGCCTTTTTATTTTCACGCTCCTTTTGTTTACCCACACAAACAGTCACCACTGAGGACTAGGCCAGGGGAAGTTTCTCTATCATCTGATGGGCCTTTTCTCTTGATATTAAAATTAATAAGTAACAAAATAGACTCACAAAAGAAAAGGAGGCTTAGGTCATTTTCTGGTCTGTCCCACAGCTTTTCTGTTTGTGTTATGCACTCATGCTGAGATAATACCAATTAGAAATGATCAATAATTAGCTATTATCTCATAACATTGTGGATATTTATGCCCATGTTAATTACTTTCATTCAAGAGTGTAGTTGGTCCCATATTTTAAGGAAAACATATTGGCATTTTTCTAAACACCCACGGTTCACTGTCTGAAAAGTGATAAATCAAAAGTCTAAGTTGTTCCATTTATTAAAGTACATTTGTTTTATTTTTGAATAATTATAGTGTGAAATATTAAACATAAACTATATTTAAGTTAACATATATTTTGGTAATTATATCTAGTCACCTGACATAATATATATGAAAGGATACATTTATAAGTCCATCCATCCATCCATTTTCTACCCTTTAATCCATTTCTGGGTCAGGGGGGTGGCAGTCAGAGATGCCACCCAAGTCTCATAGCACCAGCCCCTCACTGACCCTCTGCAGGTGGTGAGTCCACAGGAGGACGGCTGCTCTCTGAGTGTGAGCATAGCCTTGATCTTTCAGTGGGGGTTTGGGCAAAGTGGGGTTAAGTGTCTTGCCCAAGGACACAACGACAGCAGTCATCAGTGGGAGTCGGTGGAGAAGGTGTAGAGGTGGGAATTGAACCCACAACCTTCAAGCCTGAAGGTCCATGCTCTACCAACTGAGCTACTTGCCTGTCGCCCTTGCCTGTCGACATTTATAAGTCATCTTCCTAATTCTAAACCTTTGGGATTTTCATATGTTTCACATGAACACGGTATATTGTATTGAGATTGAGAGGGCATGCCTTTTTTCACCAGCGACATGGGATGACGCTAAAAGTGCCATTCTCTTGGTGCACCCATTTGTGTTGGGACTGTGTGTTCCTTGATAATGTTCTCTATAATGGCCTGACTAATCATTTTTGGCTCTCGGTGTTATTTGGCCTGATTTTTGAAGCCCAGATAATGGCAGCTGGTGTCCGTATTTCTCATTGAAAGTGTGACATAGCTGTGAGCCATCGACCAACGTCACTCGCCTTTTTGTTAAAAGCGATTTGGTCCATTTAGTCTAATTTTACCGCTACACTCTGTATTTAAAAGTCTTGCTTTATCACATTTGACTTTTGCTGCCTCTTGTCCAGGACTCCCTTGCAGGTTCTTAATCTCAATGGGTCTTTCCTGGTTAAGAAATCCTTTATTTGTCCCACAGTGGGGAAATGCCAGTGTTGCATCACTAGTTACAGAACAATAGGAATGAGGAGCTTCAAGATAGCCTGGCCTTAGCCATCCGTAAACTCTGGTCCATTATTTTTTCCCTGCATATACTGTACGTCCGAGTCTGCTCCCTGTGTCTACATTTACATTTGTTGAATCCCATCCGACCAATCAGCAATTTGCTGGTTGCATTCTCCGGCATTGCCAAGGCAGAGAATGCGATTGTAAAGTAATCCGTTCTGGTTCGGCTCCAAATATCAAGAAATTGAAGCCGGAGCAAGAGGAATATTTAGCAGATTTCATTGCTGGCGGCGTACATACGTCACGGCAAACTCGGATCCAATCGTTTCAATCTGCAAAAGGAGTTAACCCCTCCCACCTGTTAACGAAGCTCAATGGAGCAACAGACCTTAGTATGGAATGAAATTTGTACGATGGTGTGGTACAACCAGGCTAGCATGAAGAAGAGACAAGAATATAATCTATCTTTAGCATATTGAGTAAAAAAAAATACAAAAAAGGTTAATTAAATAAATAAAAAAGAAATTAAAAATGATTTTCACTAATGTTCCCTAATCATGGTATTGTACAAGCCGTCTTCTGAGCCCACTTTCAAGTTGATTGTGTTTGCGCGTCACTGACATTTGCTGAACTCCCTCTGGTCTTGTAGACTTGATTTTACAGCCGCACATCTGACTTTTTAGTGTTGCCTAAATTGGAGGCCTACTTTTAACGTGGCTTTAATATCCAGTTTAGATGCTCAATTAGATTTGTAATTGCTCCTCAGGCATGATTGCATTTATATTGGCCCAGATCATTAATACAGTGGGACCAGGCCATATGTCGTAAAAATAAAATTGGACACTGCATGGGGCTTGCGGTGGCGAAGTTCATGCGAATCCAGTGACACTGTTGAGCTAAGATTTATATTGGACCTGTCGATTATTAAAACACCCACAGCTCATGGTTTGGTTTAACGCTTTGATACTTCTCGATTTGTTGAAATGCGTGCTTACATTTGGTTTAAGTTACTCTTGAAGAATTGTGTTTACGGCTTCCAGAGTTCTTAAAAGCTTCATTATTATAGGCTGAGGGTGAAATATAAGTGCAGCATTGACAGGCAGAGGACAGACAAATGTAAAAATCCACACATTATTCTACCCTTTAAAGCTTTAAGGCATTCCATTCTTTCTTCACATTTCTATTCCTCCAGCCTTTGCTTCTCCTCAACTGTCAGTTTCTTTATTTGTGTCTTTCATCATTGCGTTTTCGCCGGACTCTCTGTTATTACAAAGATGGCTGCCGTGAATCCCCCGGAGGTTCGCAGTTGGAGAAGACCCAGATGTGGGCTGACTTCCTGGAACGTTTAGTCACGCATTCCTTCAAGGTGTTAGAAAAACACCTGCATCTGCGCGCCCACCTTTAGCCGGTCATTTCCTCTCGTTCCTCTTTAGCACTAGATCTTCTGTCAGTAAAAGGAGGCCCAGGTGTTTCGGGTCAGCTGGTTAATGTGCTAATATATTTTTACCACTTAGAAAGGCGCGTTGAAAAATGCTGGTTTTCTCATTTGGTGATGAGGCTTAATGTCTAGACAGAGTTTGCATTGGAAAGTGCTCAACTGGTTAATTTCTACAACAGGGACAGTTGTGATACATTATGCAGTGGATTACTGCTTTTGTGCTGCAACAAATGTTCATTGTCATTGAAAAAAAAGATAAGTCATTGATTTTCTGTCATGCACAACAGCGGCCCCCAAACTTTTTTGCACTACTGTTTATTCCAGACAATATTTCACAGGGACATAGCACGTTTCTGTTTGCTATATATGATTTATCTATGACACATGTGGCTCATTATTCAATATTTAACACAAACGAACTCTGTGAGCTCAAACAATGCTATGACATAGACGAGTCGTGAACTTACTTATTCAGATCTGCAAAATGCCTGCACTGTCTACCCCTAAACGGCAGTGTCAAAAGCTCTTCTTCACGGCAGCGAGGTTGTTTTTTTTTTTTTAGGTAAATCCTCCGCATATCACAGATTTTATATATATATCTATATATCTAATGAATGAATCTGAATGTGATCAAATGTAAAAGGTTCTGGTCAGTTCTATGGTTAGTCATAGAACTTCAAGTCATCAAAGAATTGCAGTGACAATGCTATTTCCAACTCTCACAATGATTTACCCCTGTTAATGCGTACAAACATTTGTTTGTTCTGTTCTAGAAAAGTTGTATAATTGTCTTATCGGCGATGAACTTTCTCAGTGGCTTTCCGCCGCAACAAAACAATCTTTTTTGACAAATGTTGATTACTTCACAATGCTTAGTGAATGTTTTTCTGTGTTCTCGAAATGGCACTTCACCAGCCTGTGACATGTTCATTTCAATTGAAGTTTCAAACGCTAAACCGCTTACGAGTCATCTTTCATTTGCCAAAACCTGCAACGTGTGAAAAATCTTCTTAATAACGTCGCCTCCTATGGCCCCAACAGATGATAACAAAGCAGGCATGAACAGATGAATTGTCACATTGAATCATTCTTTGAACATTTATGAAAAGCAATATTCATGTTTTGGGATGCCAGCTGTCATGCGTTGCCAGATCTACTGGCACTGTCAGATTCTAGCATATTGGAGAGTTGGACCCTACCTCAGTTGCATTTTTTATGTTGTGAGAGTGCAGACACAGCCTCTTGAACTCCACTCTTCTCGGCTCTTCAAACCTCCACATCAAACCATCTTTATTTACTGTCAGAAATTCAGGAGTGTCCAATTTAGAAAGGTATTTCAAAGACCCTTAAATTATTGATTTTGTCTAATCTATTAAGGGCACAATGTGGCTGTTCCATGGGTTCAGCCACGCGCATGGATTTGTTATATGCTAGGATACTGTGAAAGATTCCAGGCCAATCGTTGGTATTTAGTAATATCATTTTCTTAATATGTTCATGTGTCTAAGTGCTTTGACAGTGTTAGATTTCTAGACTCCTGTCTCTTCTTTACAACACTCTCAAAACAAATCAAATATCTTTGATTTGCAGGTTTAGTCCAGTAGTTAAACTGTTGTTTTTTTTAAATCCTTTTATAGAGCTATACTTCACCTATATCAGATGCCTTCTTGTAAGGTACAATACCCAGTAAGTGAACAGTCCCTGATAGCAAATAAAACAATAGTTTTGAGTTACCGATTTGTGTGGCAAGTATTGTACAGGTACAAATGGCTAAAGCGCTCAGCCACTTACCATAACTCTTTGTATTACAGACCACTGTCTTCACCACCTGTGGGTTTTTATTGATGTCTGTATTTGAAAGTCTCCTCCTGCAATAAAAAAGGCTATAAAACTCAAGTTGTCATACATTTTTCCTTGGTACTTTGGTTTTAAGTTCAAGTTTGAGTTCAAGAGGGAAAATTTATTTGGAGGTTGATAAAATGCTAAAAGAACACTAAATAGTATCCCATTATTTTCTCTTGTGAAAAATGTAATAATTAAAATGCACGTGAAACCACCCCCTGAAATTGAATTGTCAAAACAACGAGCTCTCAGTCCTATAGCCTCCTGTCAAAGTATTCCCACTGGTTCATATA